GGCAAACAGAGACTGGATCAGACCCGGGTTTTCGGTCTGTTTCCTTTCAAAGGACCAGAACCAGGAAAGAGCTGAACAAACAGACTGCCTGCATCCAAACTCTGACATGTATTTAGTTTCCTGTTTAGAAAAAGCTGTGAACCCATTTGGTGGTGAAGCCGGCCACTTAGACCACCTCCATGCCGACACCTTCCCATTTTGAGTTAATCTTTCTTCTTTATCCGTTTAGGGAGCTGCTTTGGGTAAAATCCAACCAGTAAAAAAAAGTCATGCCAAATCGATGGTGATTCTTACACATTATAGTGTCAGAAATTATGTAAAAAAAACACAGATGGCATCAATCTGAATGATATTGGTAAAGCAATAAGAGAAAATCTTCATATGTGCAGCACAAACGCTCGTCCGTACGGAGAACAGCCGAGAAAAGCAGAGAAAACAAAGCTCTCCATCAATCAGCTGAGACCTGAGGGGGTGGAATACCGAGCAATTAAAGCCTGAACCTCCTCCTCATCTGCAGGTTAGCGGTGAAACTCGGGTTACCATGGTGATTTCAGCGGCGGGGGGGGGGCATAACATCTTTCCAACTCTCACTCCGACTGTTCCTCAGGAGGAGGAAAGCAGTGACGAGCAGGACGGAGAGTCTGAAGCTAACAAACTCCTGCAGATGGAGGAGCTCCGCTCTCTGATTTCAGGCTAAACGGGCGTGAATTGAACAGGGACACTCAAGTGCAACATGAAGGTAATCAGATGCTCTCCACCAAAGCCCTGCCTCTGTGATGGAGCGCGGCTGTCAGACAGCAGCTGCTCGGCGGCCAGCAGGAGACGCTGCTGCTCACATGACTTTCCTCAGAAAACAAAGGTCACAGCGGCGCAGGAGTCAGCTGATGTCAGCCGGCCCACCAAAACGCCCGTAATGGCTTTTTAGATCGATCCATTTACATCAGCTTTGATATCAGATACTCGATGCGAGCGTTTCTGCTCCAGAGCCGCCTCGCAGTGGTGAATGTTTCCACATCTAATCAGCAGCAAATAATCACGAGCAGCTGACTCTGGGGCGGCTGACAGAGTGAGAGGAGCTCCAGGTTTCACACGCACGGCAACACGGAGCAGAGTATGAGCTCCATCAGAGCATTTCCTGATCAGCCTCATCCAGAAGCAGCACGCTGGGCTCTGCGTTCAGAGATCAGGTTGCTTCTCTCAGTCAGAGCATCAGGCTCCAGCAGAGTTAAGGGCATGAAGGAGCATTTTCCTTGAATTTAAAGCAGGAAAATGCTCCTTTTCTGCTTTTATTCCAGCTCTGCTGGACTCCCTGCTGCATTTTTGTGGTTTAAAATCAACAGATGCACGCACTGAATATTAAGTCATTAAACAGGACGGAGAGGAGCGGTTACGTTTTCAGGAAGAGAGATTTCCTCCGAATTTGTTCTTTTATTTCTGGCTTAAAGCCTCAGAACTCAGCGGACAGGTAAATTTCATCATTTACTAAACACTGCAGGAAGACGCGTTACAGATCACACAGAATAAAATCAATTCTGGAGAATCTGAAAAACAAGTTTAAGGTTTTGAGATTTCCACACAGTCAAAAATTCTACTTTTCATCTCCGGATTTGACCAAATCAAAGGGAGAATAATCAAAACCCGACAGAGACCTTTAACCTGACCAACAAATGACGATGACCAAAACTAAGAAAGATGAATGCATCTAAATCTGTGAAAGGATGAAAATAAAGCTGAGTTTGAGGCCACTGGATTCCACATGTGGACTGAGAATCAGTCTGGGTTTCTGCTCCACAACGGGTTGTATTTTAAACTGAACGGATGGCGGAGGGAGACCCTGTGGTGCTCTACATTTATTGATCTGTGCTTCCATTTCATAGCCCCCCTAATGACTCCATGGCACTGTAAAAGAAACGTAATTAGTTCAGAGGTCTTTTTTTAGTTTTGGTAATGAAGCAGAGAAAAGCGAAGCGGCAAAGAGCTCTGAAACAAAGGAAACAATAACTGGAGGAGAATATGAAGAGCCAGTTACCATGGCAAAGCCAACATCAGCCTTCTTGAGGGCGGGGCCGTCGTTAGTGCCATCTCCCGTCACCGCCACCACCTGTCGGGTCTCTCCCACTGTGCTGTCGATGATGCCTGGTCCACAGAAACAGAGACGGAGTAATGAAGGAAACTGAGGCTCCAAACGAGACTTTGAACCATTCGATTAAAGCCCACTCTCATTCGGAAGCAGAATATTTGCACAACGTCAAACGCTTATTAATGAGCCCACCTTTGACTAGTGTGTGTTTGTCTGTTGGAGACGACCGAGCCAGAACACGCAGAGTGGGCCAGACTGTGTCCAGACGCTCCTGTTCCACCTGGAAACCAGAATCACATGTGATTGATTGATCGATTGATTGATTGATTGATTGATTGATTGATTGATTGACTGATTTACCATTTATTTATATAGAGCTTAACACCCAACTAAGGTGACCGAAGCACTTTACAATAAAGTAAATCACAAGAAGTGCAAAAAAAGAGTTACGTCACAAAAGAAATAAAACATTTAAAAAGTAAAATGTGTAAACTTTCTGTAAATATCTGGTTCTTTCTTCAAACATTAATTTATGAAAACGAGACCAACCGGAGAGTCAAATCTCCAGAGCTCAGCACAGGAGCCAGACAGTGGCTGAAGAGCTCCACCGCCTCCTGCTGCAGCCGGCTGATGTTTAGGTGCCTTACATTCTGCATATAAACATCTCTAAATGTCAGCTGGTGTTTATGGAAACCGGGCAGCTTTACATCAACGACCACCAACCGACTGCGGCCAGCCGAGCTCCAGTCAAAAGACAAACACCATAAATAACGACCAGGATTTCTTTCTGTGCGAGCCTTGTCGTTTGGATTCTCCTGCTGGATTCCCATTAAATCCCCTTGGCCCCCCGAGTGAGCTGTAGTTCTGCTCTCTACACATTCAAATTGTCTGTTTTCTGCCGTGTGAGTCGAGTCATTTTCCTTCCAAATGAAATGATTTTCTGTCCTCTCCGGCTGCCCGAGAGCGGAGCAGCTGCTGGAGAAGGTGTGAAATACGAGAAATCCGAGCAAACCGATTTTTCACGCATTCTAAAACTGAGCTGACTTCTCTCCTGTTTGACAGAAATAAGGAAATGTGGCCTTGATGAGACTAACTGCCACCATTTTGAAGGCTCTGTATTGGCAGTGGGCTTCTAGATCAGAGCACGTCTTACCTCTCCCTTCTCGTTCCTGATCCGGTTGTTGAACTCCTTGCCCTCCAGACACAGGAAGTCCTCTCCGGGCAGCAGGATGCCGCACTTGGTGGCGATGGCGCGGGCCGTGTTGATGTTGTCTCCGGTGACCATGCGCACGGTGATACCGGCCCGCTGACACTTGGCGATGGCGGCAGGAACCTGTGGGAGCAGAGCAACCGTTCTGGGGTCAAACGAGCAGCCTCTCTCTCCTCTGAGCTACTGGAACTAGCTTGGACCAGTGTTGGAGTAGCTTTGCATCGCTTTTGTTTTTTCTGAATTTATGAACATATGAACATATTTGCATTCTAATTCTACTGATTTAATTTTGAATCTTTAGTTGGAAATATGTCTGTTTTCATTCTGATTTGCTGCTCTTCCTGTATGGTGGGAGTGACGTTGACAAGCTGATTGATTAATAGCTGCCGTCACCTGCCAGTCAGGTAGAGTGGAAAGGGCAAACAGTTTTTCAACCGTGTGATGCGGGAGCGCTTTTGTTAGTACGTTTGTATGAAAGTTAAAGACAAATAAATGCCTCTATTTTTCTAAGACGCGCGTTGGGATCTGACCTAAACTTCTACTCTGAAGCGGTGGCCGCAAGGTTGCCGCTACAACCACACACTGATGAACTTTCCGTCAGCCGGATTTTAAGTAAGGACGTGTATCAGAGTCCTCTTTGGAGTAGGCTTAAGGCTTTCCTTTATGATATAGCTTATAGTTAGGGTAAGTCCACCCCTAGTTATGCTGCTATAGGCCCATAATGATGCACCGAGCTCCCCTCTCCTTTCTCTCTCTCCCTCCCGGTGCAACCTCATTGCATTAACAATGTTACTAACTGGACTCTCTCCTTTCCCCGTAGTCGTGTGCTTTCTCGCCCCCCTTCTCTCTCCTCCTATCACTTCCTGCAGGTGTTCCTAGAGCTGTGGAGTCTGGATCTGTGGTTTGGAGTCTCCTGCTGTTCCCGTGTTCCTGCTCTGCTACTACTCTGCAGAGTGTTATTTCTGTCATAACTTCTACCATAATCATTAGTATTAATATCATTACCATTCATCTAGTCTATGTGTTGCTGTGTTGGCTGCATCTCTCTCTCTATTGCCCTCTCTCTCTCTCACCCCTAACCGGCCAAGGCAGATGGCCGCCCACCCCGAGCCATGGTTCTGCTCCAGGTTTCTGCCTGTTAAAAGGAAGTTTTTCCTTGCCTGTGTCGCCTAGTGCTTGCTCATGGTGGGAATTGTTGGGTTTCTGTAGTTAACTTCAGGGTAGGGTCTGACCTGCTCTGTTTGGAAAGCGCTGTGAGACAACTGTTGTTGTGATGTGGCGCTCTATAAATAAAATAGACAACAGACAGGAGCTCTGTATGTTCGCTTACAAAATATGAACCATCTCCCTCTGACTCAGACAGAGGACGCTGGCCCTGAATGAACATCCCATCAGGCCTTTTGCTTTGGGGTCAAAAGGTTAAGCACGACGAGGGTCTGAATCATGAGTGGTAGGTTGTGATTTTAAATAGATCGGCCGGGACACACGTTGTGGTGACAGCTGAACAGATGATGCGTGGGATCTGAGCGGAGCACCTTCTGAGCCGTCTTACTTCCATCACTTGCTCAGTTTCTGCTGGCGGTTTGGTCATTTTAACATTTTAACTGAACAGAAGGAGGACAAAACTATCTGCTTCCGTCACAGGTTGTGAGGAGACCAGGGCCGAGTTTCCGCCCTGCCGGTGACCTTTGACCTCTGTTGCCGGATATCTGCTCCTGGCATCAATGTCAATCAAATCTATGTGGAATCAAAAGTAGTTTAATTCCAAACCAAATGTTTGTGGAGATTTCAGCTCTGAGGTTTTGAGGATCTGATGGCTGATCCTTTAATATTAGTTAGTTTTTTTTTGTTTTATTCTGACAGTTTGAACCATTCTGCCACTTCCTGATGCCCGTCTAACCCCAGCTGATCTCCCCCCTGGCAGTGGGTTAGTGGTTTGGGGGGGTTGTTTAGCTTTGGGGGGGCGGAGCTGTACCTCGTCTCTGACGGGGTCCTCGATGCCGACCACGGCGATGCAGGTGAGGTCGGTGAGGATGTTGTTCTCGTCGTCCCAGTTGGGCTCTCCGGCCTCGGCGGGGAAGTCTCTGTAGGACACGCAGATGGTCCTCAGCCCCTCGCACGCCATGGGCTCGATCACCTTGCGCACCATCTCGTCGCGGTCTTTGGGCTCGAAGGGGCGGGCGTAGCCCTGGGCGTCCAGGATGTGGGAGCACCTGCGAGAGGGGCAGAGGAAAAGGCCGTGAACTGGCCGGACTCAGACTCAAACTAAGACCCCGGGACTCAGACACCGGGACTCAGACCTCAGGTCTCAGACCCCGGGCATTATGTCTGAAACATTATGTCATTATGTTTCAGACACAATGATGCCATTATGTCTGAAACTGCTGAATAATATTGGATCCAACTTAATTTTCTCCACCGATTATGATCTGAAACGCTTGTTTGAACGGTTGTCTCTGTTCTCATTACTCTGTGATAATTCAGAAGCCATATGTTCCATTTAACCTGAGTAGTGTTGTGATTGGATGTTACCATTGCAGAGTTAAAGAAATGGTCTCAGACTCCGGGTCTCAGACTTCAACACCGGGACTCAGACCTCAGACCTCGGGTCTCTAACCTCTGTGCTGTGAGCTCTCAGAGCTCTTCTTACTTTCTCAGGACGATCTCCGACGCGCCCTTGCTGTACATGCGGAAGCCGCCGTCGGCGTTCTTCAGCACAGTGCTCATGGACTTGCGGGACGAGTTGAAGGTGTAGACCTTGTAGAATTTCTCCTCGGTGATCTCCTCCCTGATGGGAGTGTAGTCCCTCTTGAGGTCCAGCACCAAGCCCAGCAGAGCACACTCGGTCTTGTTTCCAACCTGACGGGGCTGACCTCCTTCTTTCTCGGGAGGCTGCGGGGAGAATAAAGAGAGCTCAACCTCTGCTTAAGCTTCATTTAAAACAACTCCATTTAGCTACAGAAACAGAGGTAAAGTTTGGATTCAGGATGGTTTTACATCTGACTGAAGTAGGGATGTCCCGATTCAGTTTTTTGCTCTTCCGATCCGATCCCGGCTTATCAGAGCCTGTACTAAAGTTTAAAGTCATTTATCTACTTACTTAGTTGTCAGACTCATGTTGAACAAGGATTTACTCCGATAACAACTTAATGGTTAGGACACAGACCTGTGGGTTAGGAGATGCTAATGCTAATGCTAATGCTAATGCTCCTGTGGGATCTGACTTTTTTTTTTAAATGGATGGGAAGTCTGGATCTGTGTTTTCTCCTGCTGACCGATACGCATTTTTTTGCAAATATCGGCAGCCGATCGGATCCAGATATCGGGTCGGGACCAGCCCAGACTGAAGGTTTAGAAGATTTGAGCCGATCTTTGGCCGCCTTCATGTCCCCTCGGCCTACCGGACAGTTTAGTGTTCAGCTTTGGGAGCCGTGGTGAACTCTTACCAGGATCTTGGAGGTGTAGGCCGAGTTGATGGAGATGCTGTTGACCAGGGTCTCCAGCGTCTGGGGCTTGATGACGTCCGGGTCGGGGACGCTCCGGTAGTGCTTCTCGCCGACGTAGGCCTGCACCACCGTCATGCGGTTCATGGTCAGGGTCCCCGTCTTGTCGGAGCAGATGGCCGTGGCGTTGCCCATCGTCTCACAGGCGTCCAGGTGGCGCACCAGGTTGTTGTCCTTCATCATTTTCTATAGAAAGGCGAGGAGAGAGGCTGCCGTTGAGATAAAGCAGCGGAGATCCTGAGGGGAATTTCCCTTCACGGCAGAGCCGGCGCACCTTGACGGAATAGGCCAGAGAGATGGTGACGGCCAGCGGAAGGCCCTCGGGAACGGCCACCACCAGCACCGTCACGCCGATGATGAAGAACTTCACGAAATACTGGACGTAGATGGGCGCGCACTCGGTCGTCCAGGACTGACCTTTGACCGCAAAGTTCTCCACCACAAAGTAGAGGATGAGGATGACGACGGTTATGGCCGCCATGAAGACACCTGAACCAAGCAGAGCATGTTAGCTTAGCATCCATTAAGAGAGAACAGCCAGAAACCAGAAACCGACAGCTGGGATCAGATAAACTTTGGGGAAACCAAAGGATTCGTTACCGAAAACAGAGCAGAAACTGTTTTAACTGGTTGTTTTACATTCGTACAGCTCATCATGAACAAACTAAATCTTTTACGCAGCGTGGCAGTTTGAACTGAACTGTGTGAGCAAAACAGAAGTTGGAGGCAGTTTTCTGCATCACTTTCAGTTATTTTATAAATCAAACCCAGTTCCTACTTCCTCTATTTTCATTAAATAAAACCTATGGGTTTGGATGAACAGCAGCCTAACAGCTGGACCCAGAAATGGAAATGAACCCTGGTTTAGAAATACAGATGTTTGATGAGGCCAGAATAACAGAAATAATTGACTATGTAAGTCTGGCATCTTCACAGACTGAGTAATGGTGGCTGAGACTTTGTCCTGAATAGATGCTGATTCTAACAGGTTTAACCCCAGTGAACTGCAGCAGCGCCACACTGAACCTGTGATGTCCCGCCCGCTAAAGTCCTGCTGTCCGAGCCGACTGAGAAACATGTAATCACATTTTCCTCGGTCTGATTCCTCGACAAAAGCCTCTTTGTTGCCTGTAACCCACTTTGGCTTCTCCTCCTCTCTTTCCATCAGCTATCATAACGAACTGTTGACTTTTGAGCTCTCCGACAGATCCGTCTTATTGCTGACAGGCAGCCGTCTCATCTTCTGGGCTTTTGAAACCACAGAAGAACGGAGCGGAGAAGTTAAGCTGCGTCCGTGGAGTTACAGCCCCCCAACAGGTCAAACGCAGCAATGTTCTGGCCCAAATTCCACGTCTGCTTTTTAATGAAGGGCCGTGAAAACCTCAGAGAATTAAGGTCAACTGAAACGACACTAAACACCTTCAGTTCCGGGATGATTCATGTTCCCAATAAAAAAGGAAAAAATCCATTCAATAAAACAGAGTGCATTTCAACCCTCGGGCTCCTGCCCGCACTGCCTGTCATTAAAGGAACAGGCCAACATTTAGGGGACGGGCTTTCTTTGGCCTGCTTGTTTTAGTGTCTTTAGCCTCGCCTCTGATTGTAGACAGCAGGAAAAACGTGTCCAGGAAGTCAACCAGCATCAGGCTCCACTAAGAGGAGCCACATGACTTTGTTCCATGTTTGTAGCAGTTATTTTGGGGTTATGTGTTCTGCTCTCTGAGCCGTTTTGGCCTTAAAGGAGCACCTTGGAGGGGCTTTGGCGAACCCTCTGACTCCCTGTAACTGACTGAATGGACGGACTCCTTCAGGATTGGGGGAAATGCTGCATGTGGGTGTGTGCGCTGCTCACCGGCCTTCCCGATCTGCACGGTCAGCCTGGTCAGTTTGCCCTGCAGCACAGACTTCTCCTTCTTGGTCACGTTGACCTTCTTAACCTGCTTGGCCTCCTCCTTCTCCTCGGACTCTGCGGCCTCCTCGCTCTTCAGTGGCTGGATCTCCAGAGCGATGCCATCCTGAGTCTTGGCTGGTTGGGGGTGGGGGGGAATTGGAGGGTGAGTGAGGTTTTGGGGGGGGGGGATAGCAGGAATGAGGAGGGGAAGGGGTTCAGACAGAAAAGATGAAGAAAAAGGTGAATAAAATAAACAAATGTGTATCAGTAAGTCACAAAACAAAAACGGGGAGGGGCGGGGAAGGGGTGATTAGGAAATGAAGGAAGAAAGGCAGAGAAAATGTTACACATTCAGTCAAAGCTGCAAACCACAGGATGAGTTTTCTCAGAGAAAGATGGGACCCCAGACTTTATTACATGTGGCCCACAGCTGGATGCAGAGAACAATGCAGAATGATGCAGCATTTCTTCGTTTCATGAGCACAACACATCCACGAAAAGCTCAGGGAAACTTTCAGAGTGTCACAAATAATTTTGGGGATTCATATGTGAGTTCATGGTGACGAGCAGCAGACACTTTGTTGGCATCAGAAGCTGGACTCTAGAGTTCTGAGGAGGCTTTTGGTTTGACATCCTGCCGCTCATCCGCATAAACAAATTTAGTGTTTGCATCCGACTCGATCGGCTGGGATTCTGCGGCTCGAGTCGCTGCATTTGCAAAGCAAAAAGACACACGAGCAGGAGAAGGCTGGACGAACACATCTGCACAGTCTGACGACAGAGACGCTGGCGACTTCGTCTCAAAACTCTCCAAATCCTCAGTTACTAACTTTAAAAGCTGGAGATATTACACAAACATCCATCAGCTGACACAGCTAGAAATGTCTCCATCTCATCTGACACCAACAGTAGGCTGAGATCGAGTCATCTGTTAATGAAGCTGATCGACTAAAATCTAAAAAAAATAACCAATAAAACTGATTATTGAGAAATTAGAAAAACTTCACATTGTGATTTAGATCTATTCGGACATAATGTTTTTAAAAATTGCTCCCATGAGACTGGACCCCTCTATGGTCAGTAGCGCCGCCTCACTCTGAGTTTCCAGGTTAAAAAAACATATTTACCACACAGAACTGCACCAGAGGGAAGTCATTTCACAGCAACATGACATTTAACATTCTGGATGTGTGTGGGAATGAGTCATGTGTCAAACCAGGAAGCTGTGGAGCATTATGCGCATGGTCCACTCTGAAGACAAGCCACAACATGGAACTAACCGACACAGCTTCACAGAACAGGACTGAGACCCACTGACCAACCACAGAAGGGTAACGGGAGCAGCACTGAACCATGGGAGAACGCACGGCGGGCAGAGGGGACAGCATGTGTCACAACCAAAGGAAAAGCAACCCAACAAACAAAAGATGAACTTAAAGGATCAACCCCCAACGAAATGGAATCACAACAGCGATGCAGAACCACAGCGGAGAGACAGGAGGAGGTGGAGGCCGCCGGGCCTCAGCGGGACGGGAGGGAGAGAGAGTCAGACGGCAAAAACAAGACCACATGAAGTCCTGAGCAACATCCTGCAAGAAGGCAACAGAGAGATGAGGAGGAGGAAAAAAGCCAAAAACAAAGAACACAAACAGGTGCTGTGGCCCACCAACACTGCAAGGGTGCAACTCCCACTCCGAGGGCCTGGCGTCGGCCAGAAAACGGCCCCCCGGCGGCCCACCTGCCCGGCAGAACCTCCCATAACAGGGCCCCCCCTGAGGGGGGGGGGGGGTCACTGTTCAGAGTGGAACATCGACTGTTCATAGAAACTCGAGAGAGAATTCTCTTCTTTTAGTATCTGAATGATTTGAGAGGAATTGTTGCTTTAAGTGAGACGGATAACATCTTAAAGGGGACATATTATGCAAAACCAAGTTTTTAAGTGTTTGATTGTGTACATTTGGGGCTGTGGAGGGCCTATCAGCAGGCAAAGTGTGAAAAAAAATTATTCAGTCATGTTTTTGTGGGCTGCCTCAGTCTGAATCCAGGAGATAAATCAGGAGGGCTCATGTCTGGGTAGTTTCTGACGTCATTAGCTCTAGCTCATTAAAATATTCCAGCCTTTCACCTGCATGTTGCCCCCCCCCCTCAGCTTACTCCCCTATCTGTGGAGACGTCCTGGTAGCGTGAGCGTTAACATGGTAGCGTTAGCATGGTGGCGTTAGCATGGTAGCGTTAGCGTGCCGACGTGGGCACACCTCCCTGAAGAAGTGGGTGGATGGCCTGTGTCTCATTTGCATTTAAAGAGACAGGCACTCCAAAGCGAGCGCTCTGAACGGGGCTGTTTTGGCAGGTTAGGGTTAGGGTTAGGGTTAGGTTTAGGGTTAGGCAGGGGGACTGAACTGCTATTGGGCTTCATCCTTATGGGATTTTGACCAAAGCTTGTCACAGACATTACATTAGGACACCAGGGAACTAGTTTAACTTGTTAAAATAGGGTATAATATGTCTCCTTTAAAGTTTAAATGGCGTGATGGGCAGATCCATTGATCACGCCTCCTTAAACGGCCGGTGAGCTCATTTTAGCTTTCAGCTTCAGGTTAACAGCTACTGCTGTTGTGCGTTTTACGTCTGAGGGCGGCCATCATCTCAGGATGAGCTCACAGATGCACAGATCTCCACAAACAGCTAAATAATCCCATTTGGGTGCTGAGGAGGCAGCTGGCAGCTGCACCTGGAAACACGTCTTTAGGGAACACCGGCTGAAAAAAGAAGCTAGCATGCATTTCTACACCTTTCCTGGGGGGGCGAACTGAGGTAGATTTAAAAAAAGAGCAGCTAATTAAAGCGGCAGAGCTGCTGAAAGGTGGGCTCAGATCGGGCTCTTCGCGTGGAGGTCGTCTGGCTGCAGATCAGAGGATTATTCTGCGCGCGAGTGCGATGAGACGCCTGTTTCTCGGTACATCAAGAAGCATTCTGGCTGCGGCAGATGCCTCAGCCACAGGAGGTCAGGAGGAGGGAGGCTGTGTGTGTGTGTGTGTGTGTGTGTGTGTGTGTGTGTGTGCTCTGAGGCAGCTTGCGGAGGAAACGGGACATGTGTTGGATCACAGGAGACGTGGGGGACAGTTGGCTGCTTTCGGAGGATAAACTGATGACACAAACAGTCAAGCAGCCATCACATCATTAAGCTTGGACATCTCAGAGGTCAGAGCAGGACCTCTGGGAACCAGGACATTCCTGTGGAGCTGTCGGGCTCTAAGCCCAACACCTGTCTGTGCACCTGAGCAAGGCTCTCAGTTTATTCGTTGGGGCTTCAGCTTCACTTTATTTAGATGACAGCTAGTCATCTCGGTTGGTCTCTAACGTCTGACTGCATACATTTGAAATGTAAAGCTTTGAAAATGGACACCTGCGTTTGTTTGAAGAGGGCCTTAAATTCAGATTAAATGTGTTTAAGTTTGAGTTATTCTTTACATTAATAACCCTGTCCAGTTAGCCCTCTTACTTTAAGGGCAACAGAGAGAAACACAGTCAGAGGGAATCTCTGTGTGGATAAGAGCTCCCAGACACAGGAAAGGAGCAAATACCTGAAAAAGAAATTAAATCTCTTGACTTAATTATTTAGAATCTACATGTCCGACTTTATAATTAAATATATTTGAAATCTAAACGTCGCAAAAGCTGAAAAGGCTGGACTGAGTCACGTATGCGAGTCAACGATGGCGTCGTGGTTACCGCGGCAACAGTGGGCTTTGCTGGCTGTCGGAGGCTTCAAGGTTGAGATTTGCACCCTTCAACAGGTAAAGCAAGGCGAGAGAACGTCCCCCTTAATAAAGCAGAGAAGGAGATGGACTGGACACGCCCCCCCCTCCACTGGATGGGTGAGGAGGGGGAGGGAAACGGGAGGGGGGGAGACAGAGCGACAGATGGATGAATGGAGGGGTTACCTTTGTTGCGATTTTCGGGGGGTCCTTGTTTTTTACCTGTTCGGACAGAGAGAGAGGGTGGAATGCTGATAAGATGGCTCAAAGGAAAAATAAGATCAAAGCAAACTGAGGGAGAACACAAAGTCCAAACTGAAACCCACAGGAGTGTGTGTGTCGTGTGTGTTTGCTGTGGGCAGGAATGGACGGGTCAGAGGAGAGAGGCACCGAACTTTCCGCTGCGGAGAACCGACAGACACAAACCCGAAAACCGTCGTAAGAGTCGGAGCGTCCACAAACAGCTGGTTTGTGAGTCGCTCTGCGTTCAGCTTTCTGTTTTTAGGACCTTCGGCCTGGACGATGAACGCGATGAAGTTAAAGGAAATCACTCAACGGTGATTAATCAAATCGATTAAACTGTGAGCTGCTGCCTTTCATGGCCTCCGGTTGGTGCCACAGAACTAACCTGCTCTGTTACGGCTTGTTGGGCCTTTTCTCTACAGGTAAAGTTAGCTAGTCTCCTAAGCTGAATCTCTTCTGGACGGTTTGGTTTAGACTTCATATCTACACTGGCTCATGTTCTGGTTTGTGACTGAATGAGCGGCGCTGGCATTCTTCTGAGCTGTCCTGGTTTGTTTGAAATAGCAAAAGCTTCGTATTAACACGCCGACACCGTTGGTGCGAGGCCCTCGTTGCCAACGTCATCTGACATCCGTCTCACACGACAGGCTGTTTCTGCTATCGATCTGCAGTCGCTGCCTTCCATTGATCCAGCAGAGCTGGTCCTGATGGATGGAAGGCAGCTTCCTGTTCCCTTATATGGTCACCTGAACACTGTGCATGTGGCTGGACTGGGAAACTTAGCTTTTTTGGAGAAAAAAAGCCTTTGAGAGATCATTTATGTGAAGTTAAAGAATCTGAGCATCTCCTGTGGTTGTATCTTCTTCTGAGTTCGGGTTTGTGTCTGGATTCTGATCAGTAAATCAATGGGACTGGAAGCCGATCGTGGACCTGAGAGCCTCTCTCTGCTGAGCGGATCCATTCAGCCGGTTCACAATGAATGCCTGACAAACTCAAACTTTAGCCAAAAATAACAAATGGTCAGACAAAAACAAAGTAAAGAAAAAGACACGGATAAAGGGGGGTTAGCGCCATCACAAGCAAATCAAAAGCAATAGATCGACTGCAGAAGCCTGTTGGTTTTTATCACTCTGCTCTCAGACTGAACCAGGATCTTCTGGACTTTGAAGGGCTCCTTTAAAACGGCAAACAGGGAGGACGTTTGGTTTACAGATCAGAGGTCGGAGTAGTTTTTAGTTCAGCACAGGGACCTCAAACTACTGCAAATAAATGAGACCGTGATGGTGACTGATGCAAACTCAGCACTGAAATGCTACTAAAAAACCATCTCGGGAGTTTCCACTTTAACAGGTTCAGATCCTTTAGACACTAAATGAGGACCCGATTTTACTGGACCAGAACTCTGAAGATTACTTGGTGCACTGAGCCGCTTTTGTACTAAAAAAGCCTGAATCACGTTCACTCCACATCTCTTTCTCATTAAAACGGCTTCAGTGAAATAGAGATTAGTCTCGTTTTGCAGGAGTTTGCAGATAAAGGTCGTCACTGGGTGTCGTTATTAATTCTGTTATTGAAACGGCTCGTCTTTGGTCTCATTTATTCTCGTTTGTGCTTCGGACGAGGTCGGAGCCTCTAAAAGGCTCCGGTCGGGACCCTCCGAGGGCTCTGCTGCTGCTATCAGTCCAGTCTGGAGGAGCTCTGTTGGCCAGGATGACAGCAAACCCTCAAACCAACACAAGCTGATAAACCATGCACACGTTAGCCAGCGCGGGGGGGCGGAGAGGCTCAGACCGACACCCTGAGCAGCGCCCCAGTCGGACCCTCGCAAAACACCAGCTCTGCTCTCATATCTTACTTTTCTTGACCTTCTTCTCCTCGTCGTGCTCGCTGGCGCCCAGCAGGGTGAAGATGATCCCGGTTTGAGAGTTGAGCCCGACGGCGGACACCATCATCCTGCCGGATCCTTCCATCACGTGGGTCCCTGAGGAGGTTTTCCCAGAGTTAGCGAGACGGAGGGGAGAGCGTGCCGGTGTGAGGTCAGCGAGAGCTCGGGCACGCACCGGACAGCAGCATGGGGTCCTTCTCCAGGGACTTGCGGACGTGGTCAGACTCTCCGGTCAGAGAGCTCTCGTCAATCTTCAGGTCGTTTCCTTGGATTAGAATCCCGTCGGCGGGCAGCAGGTCTCCTGCAGGCAAAGGTAGGGGTCAGAGGTCATTAGCCCCATCCAGGGATTAACTTAACTCATTGGCTGCCAAAGACGTCTATAGACGTCAATTCAAATACAACCGTTGACTGCCAAAGACGTCTATAGACGTCTTTTATGTTTTTCATCGAGAGTGGCTGGGGGACGATCTGCTAAAGCTTGTCCGTAAATATCGGCTTTTAGACAGAGTATGTACTAACAAATTTACCCTCAAGGTAGCTGTGCCACTTTTGATGGGAGATGAGCTCTTGAAAAATCAGTCAAAATGCTCAAAAAACTCTGGCAGTATGGGACTCTCTGTTCTGAAAATGGCTGACAGTCAATGAGTTAACCACAGCAGCCTGAACTGGGGCTGAAACTACGTTTAATGCTCACATAGAAGAGCAAAAAGGAGAAGATCTCCTGGCTTTCTTCAGTCTGTTTTCTCACGTTAAGCGTCGGGTTCCTCACCGTATTTGATCTGGGCGATGTCTCCGGTCACGATCTCGGCCACGGGGATCTGGATGACCTGGCCTTTCCGGATGACGGTGAATTTTTGCTCCTGCTCGATGCGGCTCTGCAGCCCGCGGAACTGCTTCTCTTTGGACCAGTCGTTGAAGGCCGTCACCAGGACCACGATGACCACCGAGAACAAGATGGCCGCGCCCTCGATCCAGCCTGCGTTTGCCTCCCCCTCGTCCTCCACACCCCCCGTGACCTGGCCACATGCTGTCAAAGAGCAAACAGTCAGATCGGAGCTCTGCGTTGTTCTGATGGTCTCTGGTGTCCAGGTACATGAATATAAAGCCCCCCTCCCCCAAACAGTCAGCAGAACTTGTAACTAGGGATGTCCCGATCCAGCTTTTTTCACTTCCGATCCGATCCCGGCCTATCAGAGCAGTGTTAAAGTTTAAAGTTATTCATTCTACTCTTTCAGTTGTCAGACTGTCCAGACTGTCCATTTAGCTACAGAAACAGGATGGTTTTACATCTGACTGAAGTAGGGATGTCCCCATCCAGCTTTTAGCTCTTCCGATCTGATACCGATCCCGGCCTATCAGAGCATGTACTAAAGTTAATTCAGGTTAACTATTTAGCTACTTGCTTAGTTGTCAGACTCCTGTTGAACAGGGATTTACTCTGATAACAACTTAATGGTTAGGACACAGACCTGTGGGTTAGCAGATGCTAATGCTAATGCTAATGCTTGTGTGGGATCGGACTCAGAAAAAAAAAAAACTGGATCTGGAGTCTGGATCTGCATTTTCTGCTGCCGGCCGATACGCAGTTTTTTGCAAATATCGGATCGGGAGAAGCCCACATGTGACCATGAATATATCAAACATGACGAGTAAAGCTGTGATCATACCTTTCCGGGGCAGTAAGGGAACCTGAAATGCACTGACCTTCACCGTCGCCCCCTGGTGGGTGGTAGAAGGAGAGGCCCAGTGAGATGATGGCAGCTATTTCCAGGATGATCAGCGTGACGTCCTGCAGAGCCTCCCACACCAGCTGCAGGAACGTCTTGGGCTTCTTTGGGGGGATAAAGTTCTTTCCAAACGCAGTGTGGCGTTTCTCTAAATCAACGGGGTTTCCAGACAGTCCTGCAGACACAAACGGGGGACATCAACACCAGCAGCAATAATTAACCAGGAAATGCTTCATCTGTGCCAGTAAGACTCGGCCCTTTCAGCCAAATATCCTCCAAAAAAAAAACTCAAAACATTCAACACCGAAAACAAGTGAGTTAGTTAGCGAGTTATTTATACTGGTTTTTTTTTTTTAGAGAATCCTTTTAGATTTTCTGACTTAACCTAAATTCTGTAAATGGACTGAATTGAAACTCCAAACCAAAAAATAGATGGAGCAGAAAAACAACATCCACACAGATCTGCACCCTCCATTCAGAGCCATAAACAGTGGAGAGTGGCGTCTCCATGTTTGTCATCTTCCCACCTCTGTGATTCACTGCAACAGAGCTGGTGAGAAGTGATGCAGAGAAGAAAAAAAACGAATGATTCTGCAGAGTTTAATAAATGAATCACTATTATTTAATACACAAGCGTGGGACTGTGTGGGCTTTTTATGTGGGCCGTAAGCGCCTCCATCACAGCCTGAACTGACCCTCTGCTGCTCTACCAGGGCCGATAATCAAGGCCGATCAAACCGGGCCGTCCTGGGTCAGCGAGCATGCCGGAAGCTGCTAAAGCCCCGGTGACACGCCCACGTGGACAGCAAGAAAAAGAGCTGCCCGATCGAAAGTTATGAAAATAATGATGGGAGTTATTGTGTCTTCTAACCACCAACGAGCATAAGTCCACTTAGGTTCAGTCTAATGAAACACGACTGTCTGCAAAGGTCTGCTGACTGAGCGACAAACAATGTCTGAGTCATCCTCCAGGAAATTCAGTTTTCATATAAAGACAATAAAACAGATTCCCCCAGAGACAGAAGGAGGGAGGACGGACATCCACATTAGACCATGAAAGACACCATCGTTTGTTAAAAGTTTATCCGTTTAAAGCCGGGAACCTGGAGCTTTTTTAATGAAACTACTTCCGTTTGCAGTAACTTGTGAGGCTGCACAGATTTATCTGAATGAATCCTCTCTAATGACCTAAATTCCTGAGTAAAACCTGCCTCTGTATCACTGTGTGGGCAGCAGCAGAGCCACTGTGGGTGTGTGGTGGAAAGTGATGCGAAAACTCTGAATTCTGCTCTCTTCAGGTCTACGTGAAGATAAGCTGTGATGCATTTCTGCCCTCAGAGGCTTTAATCACCACTTCTTAAAGTCCGGCTCCGTCTCAGATAATTATACAGTTCATCAACTAGAATCGAGAGCTGGACACCAAAGCGACAGAGAGGAGAAAGACTAGATTAACTGGACAGAAAACAAGGGTGAGGGGAAATTAAATAAAAGGAGACGACTTGAAATGAGAAACCAGATGATCTGAAAAGAGGAGAGCAGAATCCCCAACAGCCATCTAAAGGCCCGGTTAAACAAATGATCCGAAGACATTAAGTGTTTCTAATTGAGCTTCCAGGAAAAAGTTGCCATAGAAGCATAGAGGAAACCGCAGCTCCCCTGCTGCTGCCTCTCAGCCGGAAATCACATCTGACCATCCAAATCAAACTGACAGCACAACGCTGAGTCAGAGGAACCAATAACAGCAACAAAAGTTCCCTGAAAATCAAAGCCGTCGGAAATGTGCATTTCAAAAGGTTGCAGAGACCGGCTGCCCTTTAAATCAGACGTCCTCAGCCTGCAGGCTCAGATATTCTGCACCCGCTTTAAAAAGTTTATTTCTCATGTATTTCCATCATAAAGACTGAAAATGGAAACCCAAAACAAACGGGCAGGAAATGGAGCGAGTGTTGGTTTGGAGATGGAATGAGAAAAGAGGAACGAGGGAAGGTTCTGCAGCAATCCACGACAGAAAAGTGGAGAATTGGATGAACTAGGTGAAGAGAAAAACTCGTTAACTCAGGGCTGAAACGCCTATTGAGGAAGACAGAGAACTTTCATCAAAAATCAGCTGCTGGACAAAGTTTCAGTCTCTTCTGTGAGAAAAAGTGGAAAAGCCAGATTAAGATAGGATACACTTTTATCCTCCCTGTGGGGATTTTTTATTGGACTCCATCCAGCTGCAATTTACATAAATAACAGAATAATAATAATAGTATCAAAGCAGACATTTGAGCCCATTCCTAAACGGTGGGTCTATAATTCTGATTCATGAGGCACTACAGCCGTGGTGAGCCGATGGAAAAAGGTCAGGCTAAGGAGGGAGTGGATGAGACCCAGAATACAGATTTTATGCTCGAATCAACAGAAAAAACTCTGAAATAAAACAACGATTCTGGTCCAGTTTGAGGAAAACATGAGGTGAGACTCACAGTCATCAAAATGCACCAAAGTCATCGTCACACCTGTGATCACTGAACACTTCCAGGCCAGAGAAGGGCCTTGACAGACTCAGTAAATAAGCTGATCATAGCCATATTCTCTTTTTATGTGTACGCTTTTATAATGAAGCGTGTTTTGACCCATTTATGCATCAATAGAATTCAACATCGTGACTTCACAGAGGCTGAAACCAGTCGTAATAAAACACTGCTGATCCAGGAATGACGGCGAGTGGCCAGATGCACAGACAGAGGTGTCTCGGGTCAATAAAAGAACAGACTCAAAAGGAGGGGTTAATTTACAGGCGTCTGCAGGATGCAGACCTCTCTTTAGCAATGAGACCCCCATCCTGCCCTGCTACAGCTCTGGGACCCCCATTCTGCCCTGGGAGTCCTCAGGCTCACAGCGACTCAGAGCAAGAGCTCAACCTGTTACTCCGTGTGTCCGATTGGTCCTTTGTGGGGTTTTTTGTTTGACACCAAAGTCCCTCAGACTTCAAAAGACTGAGCTTCTACTCTTCCTGAAAGTCAGACTAGACAGAACTAGTCCTGACCGGCTCCATTTGACAGCACGTTGGCTGTGAAACATCTTTACTTTTTCCGGTACCAGCTAACAAATCCACCCTCCGACCCAAATACGGTGACGTCCAGAGGTAGATTGAGCTAACTTTAGGAAACTGCACACAGAAACGCTGCAGAGGACAAAGTGTTTAGCGGCTAAAAGATTGTCTCGGTTCACTCTAAAAGAGGGAGGAAGGCCTCCGCCCTTTTGCTTCTCGGTAACAGCTCAGTGATGCTCAGAGAGATTCGGAGCCCTCGGGGCGCGTTACGGCCAACAGGACCCGGGTCACAAAGCATCCACTGGATCTCAGATTAGCGGCCCACTCCTCACACCACAGAGCGGAAAAAGATCTGACAGCGGACAAACCTC